GCATAGTTGAATCCTCCTTCAGAATCAACAGATCTTTACTGAAAATTTATATCAATAAATTCCATGATGTTTGCCAGTACGTGTCCAACAAACGCATCCATTTCAGTACTTGCATGGCTCCTACTAGGCTCCTACTAGGTGTACGTAATAGGTACAAGCACCTGGCGATAAGGCCCCATCAAAATCTTATTAATTATATTTATTATGCCTACCTTTTTATTGTTTATGAGTTTTTGAGTGATATCCCGAATTTCTTGCGATATACGCAGATTATTACTAATACGGTACAGAGTATCAAAAAAGTAATAATTTGCAGTTCTTTTCTCAGCGAACTTATAATTATCAATCATAAGGGAGACGTAGTGGTGGAGAGACCAATTTTCATATGAGCAAAGCTCAAAATACTTGATGTATGGGATATCGTTAGATTTGGATAACTCTCCTCGAAAGTTAATAGTTGAAGTGGTTTCAGACATGATTAGAAAAGCAACTACAAAAACAAGGAAGAGACGCGTAAAAAGACGTGTATTTAAGTTTTATAAAATATGTAACACTAAGTATGATCGGATTAAGGGGTACTAATTACGCATGCAAATTTCTTCCTTCTATGATACATATCACATGATAGGTTAATTATTTTAGCGGAAACGTCAAGTTACACAAGTTATTGCCAACCATAATTGCACATGTTATTCATTTATTGGAGGACGTGCTGAAGTTTCCGTGCTTTGAATATTAATATTGGTGTAAACGGGATGCCTTCGAATTGTTGTTTAAGGTGCTCAAAAATCTTACTATCGAGATTCTCGAGTTTGCTAAGTAGCACATTTTCAGAAATATCTCTAATACTATTCAGTACCTACCAAATATGTATTAATTTTCCACCATCATAGTTAGTTCCATAATGAAGCAAATACCGATACTCTCTCTTTATAACATCTGATACTTCTTCCAGATAATTAATCATTCCTTAAAAACATTGTTGTTCATAGTCTGTTATGGGGAGGTGAATTTCCTCAGGCTCAAAGCCTATATATTGGAATAGTTTTTCACGTAATTCAGACATTACATAGAAAACACATAATAATTATTAGTAAAAATGGTTTGTTACCGATACCTGAGTTTGTGTAAAAAATACGAGAAGGCGGGCGTAGACCTAAATCAACAAAAAATGAATTCAGATATAATCATATATATCGAACCAAATCTAATAGGTTTATAAAACCAGTATAATCACTAAATACTTTATAAGTCTCTATTAAATCATTAAATATGTCAGGTCATACTATTATGACTATTATTGATAAAAAAGTTAAATCGGTGAAGCTCATTAATAATCGTCCTGGATATGATATGAAATATGTAGAGTCATATATTTATAATTATTATGGTATTAATAATTATCAACGATTCTTTGATAAACTCTTTGAAACTGAAAGACAATATGATACTTTATCAGTTATTCGACCACTCGAGATATTAAAGCAATGGGCTATTCGGGTCAGAGTTTCTTTATAAGAGCTGGTCTCTGAGAAGAAAAGAAGCGTATATCACGTACATTGTTTATTTGGAGTATTTGAAAATTCTAAGCTAGTTGATCATGATTATTACAGGCCTAGAATCTATAAGGCCAATGTGGCGATATGTCTGAATTGTATGAAGCTTATTCATGTTGATAATGTAAAACCAACAAAGACATTTCATAATGCTAGAAGTAGATACGTCGAAATTATCAAGCCTGAGGATTTGATGCAGAAACATTGGAATCACGAGTGTAATAAACCTAAATCTCTCAATGGATATGTGAGAATTATACAACAAGCTTAGAGAAATTATAAGAATAGACCTGAATCATTAGTATCTCGAGCTTGAAATACATTAAGAAACGATAATACTACTGATGAGAAATTTTTAGATATAACCCCATACAAAGTGAAAAATCCTGCATCTTTAGATCGAATGAAATTACGCTATACTGAAAAATTTGCTGAGTATATAAAAAAATATAATAGATATCCTGTTGTTGCTGAAGATGAAATTAGAATATATAAAGAATATATTATTCCGTATGATTGGATAGGTTCTAAAAAACGGCAATTGAGGTATCAGTTTCAAAAGCGACTTTTAGAAATAGAAACATATACTTAATTAATTTCACACTATTTTTTCTTTTGACACAATTCTATTTCCTTTTGCAAATCTAATGGAGTATCGAACCTTAACTGAATTGCTAAAGGATCATCCTCTGACCTAGTAAGATCAAATACAATAAATTCATTTTTTCGAAGGTAACTATTAATAACCATTGATACATTCTTAACATCATCAGTATAACGACCGGCTATCTTGAATACATCTTGATAGCTACTGCCCCCATTAAATATAACTAAGTGGGTAAAATTTTCACGAATAATTATTGGGACATAATGATATTTTTGCGTTATATAAATTGGACTAATATTTCGATGTCGTCCATGTGTGAAGAATGGGATTATTCGATTTTGAATAAACTCAGGGGCTACACATAAATTCTCAAAGATAATTACAGTACTCCTCTCTGGAGAAAATAATTTTACGTTAGGAATTTTTTCTGGTGATATGTAACTGAATCTAATATTTTCATAATAAGGTGCTTTAGGATTACTTGCAATTGTTCCATATATGTATCTAACGAATACCCATTTTAGCTCGTCAGGATAGTAACCACAAACTATCAAATCATCACATTTAATATATCGGGATCCTCCTTTTTGTCTTTTATATATATACTCTGCTTTATCTCCGAGAACAAGGTTTGCCAGTAAATTGGTCTTACCTGTTCCACTCCTCCCAGTAACTACCTTAGAGAAAGGCCATGTCATTGATGGATGTCCAACATTTCAAATTGATTCATGTTTATTAGCTTCGTCCATATCCATAAGGAAAAGTTTCATTGGAGGTAATCCTGTCTTTGAGTTTTTTTGCATGTTTATTTCTATGAAAAGGTAATATATATTTCTTAATAATTTGCAGCGAATATATACACGAGTAATTTTTTCCGCTATATATACCAATAATTAACAATGGGTGGCGATAGCTTTTATAGAATATTAGACTATCATTATCTCGAGTCTGAAGATGAAGTAGAGGAATTTTGTGAATTTGTCGAGGAATATGGATGGAGAAAAGAATGGGAGAGTTATCATTTCACTTATTGGTATTGGTTACACACATTTGACAAGATCAAAGAGCATTGGAAAGAAAAAGAGGTTAGGCGATGGAGAGAGAAAATTCTACAAAAATTCGTATATGATTTACCAAATATAAAGAATCCAGAAGCACTACTACAAGGATTTATGAATTCTAATGTATTTACACTGATTGAAATTATAAGCTTGATAGAAAGAAAAGAACTTTCAAATATTGCATACGGCATATGGGGTAAAGATGAATGTCCGCCTTCATACTTTGAAAGTGATTCTGAGGAAAGTACAAGTATTACGTGAAATCAAAGCTAACCTCCACATGTGTAATAAAAATCCAATTCATATGTCTATCACAAATCTTTCAACAAAGTACATTTCATGCATTAAGTATCCATTGAGGTGGAAATTGTATATCTTTAACAATTTGAAGTTCTTCTCGTACAAATGATCTTTCCGGCCCATCAAGTAATTTGTAAAGTACTGGTTGATTTTCTCGAGTAATAGTTTTTTTAATATGATAAATCTGTAGGGACCAATACGCATCTGTAACACGACGTCTTCCACCTTCTAACTTACCTGGTTCAAGCAAATATCTTACTGAATCATTGTAAGATAACCGAGACTTATCAAATCCTATAGGGCCATTATGAGGTAAAGAAGATTTGGCAATAACCTGTTTCTTTTTTATTGCCTCCATAGGACTCATTCCAAGAAGTTGAGTTATAGAATTATTGAGATCCTTAACAATAATCGGAAGATTCTTAACCCAGGCCCGGGATCTCTCAGAAAAAGGTAGTAATAAATCAAAAGCATCTTGTAATCGGAATAATCTTTCAGCTAATGTTCGATTAAATCTTTCAACGATACTTTAACTACGATGTGATGTGCCTAACTTAATTTTTACATCATATTTAATCATTAATTCTTCACATTTTCTATGAAACTCAACGCCCTTATCAATATGTAACAATTTTGGCCAAACAAGAGAGTATTCAGGGTTATTATAAATTTTTTCAAATGCTTTAGCAACTTTGTAAGAAGTACGATCTGTCAGAGGATATGCAATTTTAAACCTGCTGGCCACATCAACTATTGCAAGAATAAAACGGTAAGTCTTATTTCCAATCTGATCATAAGGCATATAAAGAAGGTCTGCTTGATGGCATTCGTTAGGAATTTGTATTGTATTAAATGATGCTCGAGGAATATACTTTGGAAATGACTTGTGAATCTGAAAAACGGCTTGCTTATTTAACCAGTCTTTTATATCTGTTAGCAAAAAATTATAACCAGCTTTTTTACAAACATCTTTCATTTTTTCAGCAGTTCGATAATAGCCTTCAGGCCGGTAATATATTTTTTGTAAAGTAATACCCCTATCTAGTTCACGAGCCCTTCTGAGGTCAATATAAATTACAGGTGAACCAGAGGTTCAAAACTTTGTTTCTTCTCCCATTATTTATTGCGAAACAATGAAACTTCGTTTCTGATTTATTATAAATAACAAAAATTCGTCATGGATGAATTAATACAGACAAACCAGGAATTCCATGAGGAAATCGAGCAATTGGCACAATCAAACCGGGAATATGAGCGTCGAACTTATAATCTTGAACGGGATATAGTTTTACGTGAAGAAAGAATTCGGTATCTCGAGAAGGAGTTAGCAAATACAATCGAACTTTCCATACTAGAAAGGGAGGAATTGGAAAAAGAGATATCAAACTTAAAAAAAATTGTCTATAAGCTCAAAAAAGAGATCGAGCAAAAGGACAAGGAACTCATTACTAGGAAAAATCAACTAGCGGAATTTGATGTAAGGGAAAAAAAGTTGAAAATCTGAATTCGGGAAATATCCAAATCAGCTGGGAATACGCCTAAAGCATATAATCAGATGGCAAAGTTAATAGATAAGAATGAGCGTTTGAAACATGAAATCGATACTTTAAAATATAATCTTAAAGATCGAGACAATAAATTAGCCCAGAAAAAAACTCGTATAACTGATTTGCATTGCCAAAATTTTGGTATTAGGTTAT